AGGAGCCTTGGCTTGGCCATGGGGGCAGGTCCCAGCTCAGCCTTGGGTGCTTGTTTCCGGCCGCCACAGGCCTAGGCCTGGGGGTGTGTTTCTCCCCCCATTTCACTTGGGGGGAGCACGTCCCCGCTCAGCCCCAAGGATGCGTCTCCCCCTTACCAGGCTCTTGTCCACGCCCTCGTCCTTCATCCAGCTGGACAGGTTGTTAAGTGCGTAGTTGACCTCGTTCTTGACCATGATAATCTCGGAGAGCTCCACCTCGAAGGGGGGCTGGGGGCACAGAGCAGCATTAGCTTCATCCCCCACCCCGGCCAGGCCCATTCTGGTACTACTTCGATCCGGATGCTGCGTGCCTCTGTGCATCCTACTGCCAGGCACTGGAGGTGCCTGAATCCCATAGCCGGCTGGCTGGAGAGCAGAATTGCTCCGGTGAACTAAACGGAGCCTGCCCCTGGGAACGGAGGCCCTGGAGGAGATAATGGATACCCAGCCAGTGGGCCCTTAGGCTGGGCTCCTGAGGGCAGGGGCAGGGAGGACAGCGTTAACGGCCTGGGCTTGCGACTGCTGCTGGGAAACAGAAGCACAGATGAGGGGAGAGCGAGTGGAGCTGGAGCTCAGAGGATCAGGGCATAGCACAGGGGCTACAGGGTTAGGGGCTGGCTCTCTGGCTTCCACCAGTGCGAGCTCTACCCTACGCCCCCCTCCCCCCCGCTTACACTTTGCTGCCTTGCCGACCCTGGATTCCAGGTGACACAGGTTACCAGGTTTGGAAAGGGCTGCCTGGAGTCGCCGCAGATCTTGACAGACGGGCATTGATTCCTGAGGGGTAAAAGGCTCCGAGCAGGAGTCTGGCTCAGTGGGAGGCGCCGGGCAGAGCTCTCAGTGTGAAGCAGGAGGGCGGGAGCCCAGAGGCTCCATTTCAGAGGCAGTGAGGCCACATGGCCAGCCCTGGAGGAGGAGTGGGATCTCTGGGGGGGGGGGAGGAGCTGGCGCACTGAAGGGCTCCTCCGAGCAACTGTTTAAAGACTGGGGCACAGACCATGATACAACCATGGCCTGGGACACATAGCTCTGCCCATCCACCACTACAGACCCCGAGGGTGGCATGCGGCAGGGATGGGACCAGCTGGGGGAAGCTCACTGGGGTGGGGGCAGCTCACTGGGGTGGGGGCAGACGCAGTGCCGTCTCCCCAGGCAAAGGGTCCCCCCATGGGTCAGTGCGGTCCCCGCGCCAGAGGCACCTGGACTCCTCACCAACTCCAGACTCTCACGCAGCCGCCTGGGTGCATGAGGCCTTCTGCCAGCTCCGGGTGGCCGAGAGATGCTGACCCATCTCGGCGGGTGATCACTGGCCTCGGATCTCCTCGCCTTTGTCACCTCCCAACACGAC